AATTGCTCCAAATTGATATAGTCCTCGCAATCATACAAGTCTATATTTGATCTAGAGGGGTCTGTGCAACGCATTGAACGTTGTTAAGTCATCTATATATATAATTTCATTGTATCTTTACAATACTTACTTTCACCGCTCATGAAGTCATTGAGTAATTCCTGGAATGAGTCAAATGATTTAATTTTCGGAAGCGTGTTGCAGTGATGGTAATTCGATACAGCAACATCCTTGGGGTTTCTTGCCACGTACAGAACCTGTAACAATAAGATATAATGCAGATTTCAAACAGATACATAAAGTTTACTATTTTCAAAGTCATTTGCCAGAATGATATAAGACATTGGAAAATACTGAAATATATTGGAGAATAAATGTAAGTTTCCGTGTTTGTCTACGAAACTTTCCATTATTATATTAATCTAATCAAACTGTTGTGCACATTTTAAAATGATTTCGCATGCCGAGCACCAGAAATAAAAACAAATCTTTAGTGTGCTTGCAAGTCTATTAATTGCCTTGAAAAGCTTGTGTGTTTTTATTATTGTAGGTAATCAGTAACCGAATTCCGGCAAGTGAAACTACGAAAATAGTCATCGATATACATACAAACATAAAAAAACAATAGAATATGAAAAAAAAAACTGGAGCTCATACCTACATCGGATTTGAGCAAGACATAATACAAAAACAAGACGTTTATATTCTGATGATTGTTTTGTTTAAACCAAAACAATATGCCTAGTATAATAAGATATAATGCGGATTTCAAACGGGTACAATAGTTTACAACAGTTCAAACCATGATATAGCGCATTTAAACGGTAAGTGAAACCTCAAAAATAGTAATGAATATACAAAAATCACAATAAATTAAAAAGGAGCTCATACCTAAGGATTGAGGCAAGGCAATGCACACATTTGAAAACAATACACAGATAGCTGGTAATTGTACTGTTTAAATGACAATAAGTCTAGATATTTGCATGCTATTGAACATAAAAATGTTATATCACTCGGCCATTCTGTCTATCCCAACAATACATCAGAACACTACTTTGTTTGCAAGTTATGTTAACAAAATCGCCTCCAATATGTTTTTTACTTCGCCCAACAAAAGAAATAAGTGGTATGCTCCTTGAATTACCTTTGGTTGTTTTTCCAACAACTGTGGTGGCAAAAACTTGGGTAGTAAATGTGTGGCTATTATGCGTGGTGACGGTGCCTTTGTTAACATTTCATGATTCGGTACAGGTCCGAAGACATGGAAGTCTGGGTATGGTCCCTTATCTAATGGTTCGTCTCCTTTTATGTCGCCGCTAGCAGATAATATTTGCCAAACTACTTCGATTATCCATGCTGTGCCTGTCAAAGACGAAACGAAGCACGTGACACACAGTTATTACATGTACAAATTTAGCTTATACTATTTACAAAATGCCCTCTAGTGACGAACGAAGTGCGTCGAGATGTAAAAGTCATTTAAAGCGTCGGTATTGTTTTGATCAGTAGTAGTCCATAAACAAATAATGAGTTTTTAAGAGATTATACAAAAAAGCATTTAATTTCACTGACATTTAATTTCATTTTGATGTTTTAATTTCACAAATTTGTCACGGAACGATGAGTTTTATTGTTGTTGTACATGTTCACGTAGATGTAATTTAGCGGATTTTACTTATCAGCAAAATTAAAACCTAGTGAATAACTACGTTAATTTGCTGTAATTTTCGATGATTTGCTGTGAATTTCAATGAAGCTTGTTGTCTAAACAACTCCATTGACAATTTATGTCAACTCCACAGCATATATAAATACTTTATTTCCGTGATTTTAGTTTACTCATATTTTTGTCCAAATCGAATAACGTATGATAATGTATCACATGACGTAATGCTCAGTGACGTCATTTGAAACAGAAGCTGTTGTCGAATTACTAGCCCATGTATTGGTAACAATAACGATCAGAATGAGAGCAATAAGCTTGTGTTCGGCAAATGAATTGTGGTTCCGACGGTGACACCCAAGCCTAATTAGCATATACCTATTTATTATGAGATGTTGACTGAATGATAGTGTTATCAACTAAATGTGCCGTGACCTGTAGTTCACCTGTGTAATCACGTGATGAAGTACAATGAAACGAATAATATTAGGCTACATAAATAAATGGTTGCAAGTAAGGATAGATACAAAATATATTTTTTTAAGACTTCGATTAATAACTACCATTATCCATACATTACATTTGCAAGTTCTGGCAGCTTTCCCCATGTTTGCCATTTCTATATTAGACTACGCCGTTCCACTTCCATTCTAAAGAGAATGGACAGCAACCACTAGTACTGGCTTCTATTAGGGCCGCGGATAATCTATACTACTGTAAATATATCTGAATTGACAATGTTTTTTGTGACATTCGAAGGTCATGGTTTTTTTCTGAAAGGCGGGTATACATCTATGAAATGAATGTAGTACATTGTTTGTTGTCTGTTGATTTACCGTGGCGATGTGTTCTCTGTTAGACCGTTTAAGTCTTCTCGACTGCGATAACTAAATCAGATACGATACTGATAGTAGTCGCCATTGTCATTGAACTTCACGATAGCACGTATAATATCAACATACTTAACCCGAACTTTGGACTTACCCGATTTAGAGTAGGTACAAATCCACACATCGTCCGGTCTCACTTCAAAGCTCTGCATTGCTTCCAAACTTGTCCGTGGAACAAACCATGGAAACTTAACATCATCGTACACGTGAGTGTCTGTCCTCCAAGAACCGTCTTCATTGAAAGGATTCATATTACCACGTGACGAATACATACGTGTTGAAGCAAGAGGTTAGTGTTCACGAGGCTTGCCTGTAGACGAAAGTATTTCTGGGCACTGTGAGGGCGCTGTGAAGTTTCGTCACTAACAAACACCATCAGGCGTTTAAAGCGGGGGAGTCATCAACTGCGCATGCGTCAGATGGCCATAGTGTGTCATTGTTTACAAACAAGCGTCTGCCCATGATGAGCTTTTGGTTTTTAGCATGTGTTGTTATCGTCGCTTGGAACTCAATTCCAGCGCGTGCGCAAGTGACGACTTAATAAATCAATTTAATAAATCAATTTAATAATTTAATAAATTTAGTAAATAATAATAAATTTAATAAATTTAATAAATCAATTTAATAAATCAATAATTTAATAAATCAATTTAATAAATCAATTAATAAATCAATTTAATAAATCAATTTAATAAATCAATTCTGAATACGTCGAACATATTATTGGTACTAAGAGTCAAATACTACATTTTGTAAACGTTGAAGTTGGTTTACTGTATTTTTTCAGAAAATTTGGCATAGTACAGCATTTCCGCAGTATTCAACGCGATACATTTTCACCATTGAAGGCCGCGCCACAAGAATATGCCATGTAGACCCTCGTTTACTATGAATGTTTCACATATCTGTCAGTATAGATAGAACAAGGTCCTATTATAACGGTGTTGCAGGTGTTTTAATGTAAAGCATTTTTTGTATGACATGTACTATACAAACTTTTGTTTCCAAAAAATAAAATCTCATTAAAACTGAAACTCGCCTGAGTCGATATTAGTCACGTCTACAAGCTTTGAACATACTCAACCATCGAAAAAAAAATTAATGAGGTGGCGTACTCCGAAATATGTTATCCGTTTTTACATGCAGATAATGAATGCCACAAATTTACCAAAATCTCTGACGACAATTTGTTCATATATAATATTTTGACTACCTGCTGAGTGGCACTTATTCGATTGATCATTGTGATGTTAAAATTATAAAGCGGCAGATCTGAATTTGAACATTTTGGTTCAAATATAACCACACGAAGATGATCAAATCTTATCGAAATATAGTTTTTAGACACAATATAGACAACAAGTCTAATGTCACATTTTTGCGATGTGAAAACTAAGGGACCTATCATGTGATAGGGGCCGTGGAAGACGTTGACGAACGGCGCATAATACTATGGGATGTAACACTATCAGTAATCATTAGTGAGTGACTAGATAGAGACTTAGGCTCTCATATCGAACCATGGCGACTTATTCAACATTTCATCCTGGGCCCAAGGTAGCCTGTCGCCGTACTCCTTGAGGTTTGCATGCAAAACTGGATTTTAATAGATGGCGGCCTCTGGAGACCGCGGATACCTGCTAGTGATATAATTTACAACGTCGGCATATAGCGTATATATTATGATTTCATTGTCTCCATTTCGGTGATGGCCAGGGTCCATGGTTTTGCTGCTTAAAAGATATCCCACTTTTAAATAGTGAGAAGAAATATCCCTTTCTCGAGTCATAGTTCTGATAAAACAGTTCTATCCTCGTAAATGAATATTGTTGAGAACAAGGAAACTAGTAAACGGGTACTGCTAGGGCTAAAGAAAGAGTACTATGCTAGTAAATGCTGAACAAAAACTGTCCGCTCATGAAGGTTTGTCAGTTAGGACTCTAGCGACGATCCGAAAATTATTATTAATATATTACGCATTATACTTAGTGTACACACCAAGGAGTCTGTGGTTTTAACTTTTCAAACTACATATATGAATGTTCATTGTTAGCACCGAACACTCCCTCGCCTGAACACATTCTCAATCATCCAAACTTGCTGTTATATTTCTAGATCATGTTTAATTATAACAGGGGTGTTAATTCAGTCCATGTATGGGCATATTAAAAACATCACCGTCATATTAAGTCAAAATTGAAATGATAATCCTGTCCCATCAATGGCTTGATGATACCATTTAACCATCTCTTCACTCTGTGCTACAGTAAAACTTTCTTTCCACCCACCAACTTTACCTATAACGAGATAAGCAGAGAACACAATAATGGAGTACTCAAATCACTGTAGGATCACTGTAGGATAATCACGAAAACTATTTGTTAAAAGTGATCACCTTTTCTCACATAGGGTGTGTCCTTAGGGATCTATTCCTGCAATAACACAAAGGTTGTCACGTGTCTTTTTTTTCTTCATAGCATCAAACGTACATTGCTGTGCCACGAAGTTAATTTGTTCATCAGTCAGACTCTTTCCAAGAAACTTGCAAACCATCCGAACTGTACCTACCAGATCCTAGCAAGAGTTGTACAATAACCAAAATAATCACATGTAGGAGCAATTTAAACATGTTTAGTTGTTTATAAAGACAATGTTTACAAAAATGAAAAGTAATTTTCAACCGTTACTGCAAACAATGAAATCAAGAATATATTAGTATTATATAAATAAAAAAAATCGTATTAATATTGTTATATGTACATGGTCGTGAACAAATCATGACGTTTAATGTAATAGAAATATGCAAAATATTACTTTTATCAAAGTTTAGAAATTTGATTTAATTATATGCATTAGCAATTAGCAACATAAATATATAAGCAAAAATAAATAAATAAATAAATAAATAAATAAATAAATAAATAAATAAATAAATAAATAAATAAATAAATAAATAAATAAATAAATAAATAAATAAAGAAGCGCCACCATGACTCAATATTATCAAAACATTATTAATTGTACTTTAATTCTAATATCATAATTACAGTATTCATTTTAAGTCTTAATTTTATTACCTTTTTCATGTCTTCATATTTTAAAAAGAGTACATTGTTCTCGTCTCGTTTCTTCCACCAGTGAAGTACATGAGCTGGCCATTCACCAAAAATCACTGGGGGCAAAAAACTACTGTTTTCATAAATTGTGTATAACATGGTGTATGATCGTTGTCATAATTGTATACAGGATCAGACTAGATAAAATACCTATAGTATCAATTATGTAGTAGATATATTATGAAATTCAGCCAAGTCAAAATTTAGTTTAGGCAAACTTTTTTTTTTGGTGTTACTAAAGTTGTATGTACTATGTATTTTATTTTTTATTTTGGAATGCAAATAGGGCAAATAAAAATGAGCGAAACCAATTTTATAACCACTATATATGAGCCCATAAAAAGTAAGACACTTTGTTTATTAGTTTATAATTAGTTGCAATCACTGTCACTGTATATTTGGTGACTAATATATATATATATATATATATACAAAATGCCTTAAGGCTGTTGAATACAGTTTTAAATAATACACTCAGAGTTGACTTATATATTGTTTGTACACTTTCTATTATAATCTACATTATTACAAATATAATCTAGTATTATACATCTGTCACTGTAACGCCATAAGTTACAGCGTGCCGTAATTTCGTGGTATTTTACGGGGTAATTTCATCCTACTATATAAGAAAATGCGAATTCCAAATATGGAATGATTACGCGAGTAAGCGTCCTCTCATAAAAAACAAACATGGCTGCCATCCACACATAAAAGTTCGCTGATTCTGTTCTAAACTTTTGGGATTTCGGCATTCCAATGATGTATCCTGGGAAGGAAAAGATGTATAATAATAAGGTTATTACGAGAATACCTCAAAGTATGCATTCAGACAGTATACCGTCGCATCGACTGTCTTCGTGCATACTTTGAGGTATCCTCGTAGTAACCTCATATTATACTTTCATATTAACAAAAACAGTGTCTAACTCACTGAAGTATAATAATTAAAAGCATATATTTATGGAGTTATACTTCCAAAATCCCAAATAATAAAATATTTTATAGATATAATACGTAGTTTCTCCAAGTTTATATAATGTTCACGTTCATGTAAGCCTACATTTGAACTAGCGGGAACTGT